AAATTTCTCATCCAACTTATCAATTCTCTCATCCATCTTATCAAATTTCTCATCCATCTTATCAAATTTCTCATCCATCTTATCAAATTTCTCATCCATCCGATTGAAACGTGATTGAAACAATATCATCATTTGGTTCAATCTCTCATCTCCTAAATCCACCGATTGTTCTCCTGTTGATTCTCCTTCTTGATTTAAGTAAAGATAATCATTCACCCTTTGCATATTTTGATAAATATTAATCGTGGACTTTCTAAGCTTCCTAACCTTTGGACTAGATCCAATATTGGCTTCGTTATATCCGTTTACCAACTGATCACGAAATCGTTTGGCCCGATTTATTTGCTCCAAATTTCCATCGATCATTCTTCTGTGATAATTTATATTCGCCTTGGCCACGCCCTGTTCATTATACCACTGATTTAGGTCATCTGGACCATCAAGATCGTGCGGTACCTCAAGAGGTATATCTTCATTATCCTGGTCAATTAGATCAGACATTACTTGATATTAGTATAATATAAGTATTCAAAATAATATTTTGTAAAACGGTATATGTCTGCTCTTATATAATTATTTATGTGTCTAGACTTTTTGCATCTATGCGAAACGAACATGTTGCTTCATGTTACAAAGGTTTCAGAATTAACTTCAATCCTTATAGAGTAATGTTCCAGTTCGGAGATTTATTTTGTATAGTAAATTTAGTTAGAGCTAAACATAAAAGTAATTTGAAACAGGTTGTTCTCTAAGATACTGCATTAATCCTAGAAAATGATTGGAATTCAACTATTGATGCCACATAAATTGAACAATATATTGTTACAACAATAGCATTGGCCATATGATTTCAGAAGGATATATATTAAAGTCAGTTGTACGGTAAATATTTGATTGTAAAATTAAGAAAGAATAAATATATCTGCAGTTTGTGGATACACTGAAATTTGATTGTCGAATTGACTCAACTGAGCTTCATTAGATTGAACTTCATTATATTGACA